CATGGGTTTTTTTTCTTTGTCTGTTTGTTTTTGGTTTTGTCCATCAAAGGAAATAAAAAGAGAGATGGGGTTTTCTTGACAAAAGAAACGATCTATGATGGTTTTGGGGGGAGGAGGAAATGATACATGTGCTAGAGGGTATACACATGTTGATATGGGTGAAGGGGCAGGCAATGTACAATCAGAGGAAGTTGGCAGAAGAAAGATGGGGGTGGTGGGAGACACAGGGAGGAATGCAGTGGTTGGAATGAATACAGATAAATGCTGTTGGCTGTTGGTGCATGGAAGGGATTGCAACCATATAATGAAGTAAAGTATATGATTTGTTGAATGGAAAGCTGATGATCTGCTCTATAAACCATCACCCAATTCACAATAAAAAGTTTAAAAAAACAAACAAAAACTTTTTACAACATTGGTCTTATAACAACAAGAAAAAATAATAAAGAGGGGGGAGCTTCCCATCTATTAATAGTAGGCTAACATTAGCTAGATGGATAATTTTAGCTTACATAGGCGTGTTCATTTCCATCTCTTCAGGATACCCTGCAATAATTGAAAGCAGTCAAGATAGACCAACTATTCTGAATTTCCCCCCTTGTCTTCCATGAAGCCAATTTGTTGGTTCGGAGCACTGTTTGAGAAAAGGAAATGAGTGGTTCTTCAGAGCCTCGGGTGCAACAATTACTGTGCTTCATCTTTGTATGGAGAAAACAGCATTCCCATTTTACAGGTAAGACTACCTAAGCTTCTCAAAATTCAGCAACTTGACCAAGATCCCATAGACAGATTTGGAATAGTCTTCCTGATTCTGAAGCCTACATAACTTCCTCTCCTGAATTCAATAATATGATCCTGCTGAGTTTAAAAAGTCCTGCAGTGGGTTACAAGTTGTGCTGCTAACCAAAAGGGCAGCAGTTTGAATCTACTAGCTGCTCTGCAGGAGAAACATGAGGCTTTCTGCTTCCATAATTTATAGCCAAGAAAATCCTATACAGAGTCACTAGGAGTCAGAGCCGACTTGACAGCATACAGCCACCACCACCACCACTGAATTTAATCACATTTAAACTTTAAGAAATACCAGACTCGTATACATTTTTGATGTTAACTGAAATGCAGTGATTCTTATGGGATGTGTCACTCCAGAAATGTTTGTGATTGGGGCGGTCTCAGGATCAGCCCCATGGGACTGATACTAGTTTGGGGGCAAAAATGATGGTGCTTTCTATATAATTTAACCAGTTTTACATCCAAATATTGAATAGTTAACTGCTATTTCTGTGGCAGTTTGTAAAAGACTATTGGTTTGCTAAACAGCACTCCCCCAAATACTAATATTAGAATCCAGTTGTAGGTGGAGACTTTCTGTCATGTAGACTGGTACTAAAACTCCAAAAATGCATGAAGTGATAACAAATGTACCCAGCAACACATCTTCAAAAATTTCAAGCACATTGTGAGACAAAGGATGCATGTTTTTATATGTTTGATAGTAGTTATTACCCTTCAAATAAAAAGACAATTAGATTACTTTAGAGGTAGTAGGATATGAGCTTAATATGCATGCAGTTGAGTAATTAGTTCCCCCTGTGATCAATAAAAAGACATTTGCTAATTTTTTCTCTAATCCAAAATAATTTAAATTGTTGGTACCTCCTTCCATCTCTCTTTTACTTGGCTTCATCTTCTTATAACTGACCTAGGAATTGACTTTATGTAGTTACATTTACAAATCTGTACCTACATACACACATGAACACAGACATACACATATATGCATGTGCACATCAATGCATGCTTACACAATCAACTGAACATCAATCTTGAGGAATTAAAATATAAATTGTGATATCTATAAAGAATGAATAAAGAACCTCAGTAAAGTCTAAAATGTATAATTCTAAAATGAATGCCCTAAAATTTCTGCTTCCAGGTAGAACAGGTGAGTAGCTTATAACAAACACATGGCCCTTCTGAGAACACATAGAAACTCAGGATAAAATGCAGGACAAATCAATAGCATTAAAGGCTCAGAAATTTCATGAAGCAACAAAATGTAGGCGGTCTACGATTTGAGAGAGGAGACTCCTGGAGAAATGAGAGAACCATTTGCAGCTAACTTTGTTGACTCTGGGCTTGGAGAAGATGCAAAGAATCCAGACTGGATGGGGAGGAGAACCAACAACTGCTGGGGTTCAAGGAAACCAACAGAGAGTTGAGCAGTCTAGAGCAATTAGAGTGACAAAATACAGACACGAGAGATCTCAAGCACACTACCTACTATTCCGGGAAGTCATATGTTAAATTCTAAAGCTAGAAGATCTAGAGGCCAAAAGTTAAGCTAAAAAGAGAGCCTGAATCACACTGCTGATTTTCAGATACTGGTGTTCCATACCAGCCAGAGAGAAGGCTCCAGATAAACACACTAGCTAAAGGCGTGCCCTATGAAACAAGTTTGTCTGTGTCTATTTTTCTATAGTCTGTTAGCTAAAAATGTTTTTTACACTTTAAAATGGTTGAAATAAAAGTCAATGTAAGAACATTTTGTTTTGTGAAAAGACATGAAATTTCAATTTCAGTGTCCACAAATAAAGCTTTATCAGACCCCCACAACCATTTATTTATATATTGTCAGTGACTGCTATCATATAGCATGAGCAGTTGTGCCTGAGAGAGACCTGATGAGCTACAAACCCTAATGTATTTATTCTCTAGACCTTTACTGACCAGAGATAGACTGTGAATGGAAAGTTCTGGTGATTGAAGGTCAAAGCACAGAAGAAAACCAGAATTTATTGGATCTTACTAAAACTCAACTCAACCTCACCTTGGTTTAGTTCCTGATTAGATTAAGATAATTCAATTCCATTCTATTTGCCTGGCAAAGGAATTGTAAATCTTTTTTGGAGAAAGAGAAAGCATTATCTGGAGTCTCTACAAATCTGTATATATATTTTATACACATTCAAAAGAATCATTACACTAACTTTGGTCTACATTGAAGTATGATGCATTTAAAGAAGCCTGGTGTCTGTGACAGACTCACAAGTAATCCATTAATATCCAATGTTATACTCAAGCAATTTCAATCTATGTTATTTTGAAAAAAATAAAAATGATAGTATTACTTAAAACTTTTTCTAGGCAAAAATAACTTAAAATATGTGGCCAAATAATAGTATTCTAATGGACTGGATTTTAATTTTCATTGCAAAACATTCCAACAATATGTGGAATACATTCTGTGAATTCTTGATTTTGTAGAAAATAAGTCTGATATGGTGCTGTAGGATAGGCTAGACACAAGATTAGTGGTTCAAACCCATCAGCTACTCCTTGGGAACCCTATACAGGGTCACTATGAACTGGAACCAATTTGGTGATTTTTAACAACAGCAGCAACAGTGTTTGATTAGGTTACATACCATTATGAGCTATAGGACTATGTTCTAGGTCTCATTTTTCAGTGACAAGCACTGGCATTAGATTTCAGGCATCTATGATTTTGAGCAGACTGATAAGTACATATGTGGGAAAAACTGATAACAATAAAATATTATAATTATCTAATATGTTATGCCTACATCTCCCCCAGGTTTTTAACTTTGAACTTAAACAGCTTTTTATAATGAAATGAACAATTCAAAGGAGCATGACAGCTGAGTTCAATATGTCACAGAGCTACAAAACTGTTGAATTTATTTTAATTAGGATGTACTAAGATTTTACATCTGTGGCATAAGTAAATTATAACTCCCAGATATAAGAGATCAGGTCCCTTTAATGTATAGCCAGCCTATCACAATCTGCAAAATGCTTTATTGGTGTCAATGAGATCTATCCTACTTGTGTTCAAAATCCCAAGACATATAATAATATTATACATGGCTCAACCACAAACACTTGAGTTATCATACTTAATAGATGAAGAGATATAGCATGTATGTAAAATTAGATAGTTATTGATAAATAAACTTAGAGTCATATTCAAATATGAATATTTAAGCCGCATTTGCTCATTTTTATTTAATTTATAGTACTAACAGAACAGTTAGCCCATGAACAGCTATAATATAGGAACAAATACAATTGTCTAGATAGTATCAGAAAAAGCCTGAATAATTATTAAAATAAAATCACTTTTAGAATTAAGAAAATATTTTAAAGTGAGGTTATCATTCAAGTTCAATTACAAGTGTTTCTTTAATATTTAAATATTTTAGTAATTAAAAAGTATCATCTGGAACAGATTGCCATCTATTAATTTACTAATATAAAAACAGAATTTTTGTTTTTAAAATTGTTTTTAAAAGTCCTTCACATGTGTGAAAAGAGTTGATTTTTAAGACAGTCAGTATTAGATTAGAAACTAGGAAATACTAGGAATAATCAAGAACATTTATGCAAACAGTTATTTGATGAAACAGTTATTTGATTAAAGGAAAGTAGCCATACTTATACAATTTCTCTTAATATATACATATATATATAATATTATATTGCCTATAATAATAATATAATATACATGTAATACTATAATGTATAAAGGTATAGATAGATATCTTTACATCACAATTTCTAAAAAAAATTGATAGAACGCTATGCCTTTACACAAAATCAAATATTATTCATAGTCCCACAATGCTATTTCTCCAAACAGCATATCTGATTCCAATTAAAAGATCAGAGTCCTCAGAGAGACATATTGCAAACACAAAGTCCTTAGTAGGTGGTAGAAAGTCAGGCCAGGAGTCAAATAGAACCAACAGAGATGACAGAGATGTGATATTCAGCACCATCTCCTTAGAGAGAAAAAGCAAAACCACATGGCACTGCTAAAATGCCGAGTTAATTATCTCTTCTTTCTGAGAATTAAATCTTTTATCTTTAAAATAATTTCAACCAGATTATTGCGTCTTCTGGTAAGACACTTGTATAAGAAACACAAACATTTGCAAAGTGCATTGCTAAAATACCAGAAAAACTTAATAACCTACCATTTTCTTTGCACTCTTCTGGAGGTTTAGCCTTTTTCGCAAGTCGTGGATCCAGCCATGATGTTGTCTTTGTGTTATGGCTGAAAAGAAAAGAGATCACTCTGAACAGACACATACTAAAAGGAATCAAGTTTATTCCTTAAGAAAAAAAGAGGGGGTGGTTAGTCCAGCAAAATTGCAATCAATACACTTAATTTACTTACTGATTCTAAGTAGCCCTGAAGGAGGTGTAAGAGTAATTGTGCAAGGCAGCTGTAAATTTGGCAACCTCAGCTCCCTGTCCTCAAAGCAGCTATTTTTATTAAAATCAACTAGAATGTTGCCAAGTTAACCTCATTGAAAATGCAGAACTCATCCAAAGCAAAAGGAATTTATTACAAATACAGGATTCTCCAGTTGGAAGAGCACAGTCCACAGGCTCTGATACTGTTTCCTGAGTTTTGCAAAAGAATTATTTTGATCTTAAACCTGCCCTCTTCATAAATAGTTGTTTTGTTAGTCTGACTCCAGAGCTGGCAGAGGCAGTACAAAAGTGATGCAAATTACAGCATGTTCTTGGGATTCCTACATTTTCTAAAAAAGTGATTAATAGCGATTTTATTAACTCACATTTAGCTATCACCCATCTAAACACTTGCAATCCAGCTTCGAAGGTGGAGAATAGAAATGTTTGCATTCTACTATTTCTGGAAAAGGAGCTTCTGGGAAAAGGAATGACATTTTTGTTTTGGGAAGAAAAATGATTCTGAGAAGTCTTTTGCCAGAAATTTAAAAAGCGAAGGAGAGATACTCTTACAAGTACTGTTTTTCAGAGGATCCTGGAATTTTCTGCACTGAATCAGCTGGTGAATTTATTAACAATACAATTAACAATGCATATTCCAGGTCTCACACAAATAAGGAATCAGAATTTTTGAGGTGGGGCAACACATTCGCCATCATTGGCCAATCCTTCAGGTGATTATCATACACATTATGATTTCAGAACCACTGATTTACTAATAGACTCCTGGTGTGGCTCTGTACGATATGCACTGGACCACATGGTCATTTTGAACTGCAAGACTGTCTTTTCAAATTCACCAGCTGCTCCTTGGAAACCCTATACAGGGTCTGTTAGCACAGGCTGCGAACCTTAAGGTCAGCAGTTCAAAACTACCAGCTGTTCCAAGAGAGAAAGATGAGGCTTTCTGCTTCCGTAAAGACTTCAGCCTTGGAAACCCTGTACAGGGTTGCTATGAGTTGGAACCAACTCCATGGCACATAACCACCACCACCATGAGTAGGAACTGATTCTATGGCACTTAACAACAACATTTACAAATACTTGCTTCTTGTTAAGTGAAAGTAAATTCTGACTCTTGTTTTTGTTTCACTGTTGTTAAGTGCCTTCAAGTCTGTTCAGACTCATAGCGACCTGTACAGGGTTTCTGAAGAGCGGCTGGTGAGTTTGAACAGCCAATAATGAGGTTCAATCTGGCTTTGTGGTCCAGCGCTTATTCTACAATGCCACACTCTGTATAGGGTTTCTGAGGCTGGAATTCTCTGTGGGAGCAGAAACCCTCATCTTTCTCCCACAGAGCAGCTGATGGGCTTTAACTTTCACTGGTTAGCAGTCCAGTGATTATCCTACAGAGACACAGGGCTCCCATTAATAGCTGGTTGTTATGTACAGTCAGTTAGATCCAACTCATAGAGACACTAGGGTTTCTGAAGAGTTGCTGGTTACGAATCGGGCTGCAAACCTTAAGGTCAGCGGTTCGAAACTACCAGCTGCTCCATGGGAGAAAGATGAGGCTTTCTACTCCCGTAAGGATTTACACCCTCGGAAACCCTGTACAGGGTCGCTATGGGTCGGAACCGACTCAACGGCACTGAACAACAACAACAAATGAAAGGAAAGAGGAATTCTTTTGAGATGCAAATGGTTAAAATGCTCAGCTTCTAACCAAAATGTTGGAGATTTGAGTCTACCCAGAGGTACATTGGAAGAAAAGTCTGGTGTTCTAGTTCTAAAAAATTCAGCCACTGAGAACCCATGAATTGGAGCTATCTCAAAGACAGCAATTTTCTGTTATTGTTTTTGGTGAGGGGTAGAGAGCAAGCAAAATCCACATGTGTAAAAGTATAAGGTTTGTAAAGGGAAAAGTTAGGAAATCAATGAATAGAACATGAAAGAGAAGAATGAAAAATATTTTAGAAATATCTAGGGCAACAGAATAAGAATTCTTGGACACAATTGTTGTTGATATTGTTGTTAAGTGTTGTCAAGTTGTCTCCGGCTCATAACAACCCTGCATAGGGTGTTTATGCAGCTGGTAAATTTGAACCACCGACAATGTGGTTCAAGCCAACCTTGCAGTCCAGTGCTTTATTCTACAGTGCCACACCAGGACCAGAGGTTAAAATAGGAATGCTCTCAATTTCTCATGTATTTTCTTTCTTCTATGAAATTTAGCTTCATTTTATGTTATCAGTGCTACAAATTACCTAAATAATTTGATGAACCAATCCACAGTTAAAGCAAAGGTCAGAAAATTCTTCCCACCAGCATGTTTAAAAGCAAACTTCTGGAGCCTAAGTCCCTCATCAGTGATGACTGCAAACTGGTCTGAGGCAATTCAGTCATGGCTGACAAAGCAAAATAGGAACAGACGCAAATTTTTAAGCTTTTGGTGAAGTGGAATGACAACTAGAATGAGAAAAATTATAGGTTGAAGCTATGAAGAAGTGTAGTGAACCCTTTCAGAAGACTGATAAGAGAATTGGATTACTCCCAGGATTGTTAAAGGATGAAACACATTCAAAGTGACTACCTTTTTAGAGTGGGTCACTGCTGTTTCCAACTGTGAGAGTCATTGCTATTCGATGCCTAGGCATACTGCCCTTGTTTTCTAAGAGAGAGATTACGTTTCTAGCAGGGAGATTACGTTTCTAGCAGGGTGAACAATCTGCAATTTTTCCATTATAGTTATTATCACAGTTCGCCCAGATCTTACAGATTTGAGTACTTTTGGGGGTCCCTTAATTGGCCATGACTGAACCAATAAGAACCAGTCTGAAGCCTTACACTTAGTGAAGGGAATTTTAAGCCCCGGATGAGGCCTAGATGGCTATTGCACTTTCAGATTTTCTAGACAACTATTCCACCCGCCTACGAGTAGAGCCATTTTTAAGTTGAGTCCTTAAAAAAAATGGTGAAATGAGTGGACTCCTACTCCTGACGGCCCCCTGTGTGTTAGAGTAGAACTGTGCCTCATCGGGTTTCAATGGCTGAGCTTTTACAGGTAGCTCTTCGCAAGAGCCTGTCAGTGAACTTGGACGTCAACCTTTCAGTTAATGGCTGAATATGCTGTTTGTGCCACCCGGGGATTCCACACGTGACTTTCAAGGAGCTCTGGTAGCGTAGTGTTTACGAATCGGGCTGCAAACCACAAGGTCAGCAATTCGAAACTACCAGCCGCTCCGCGAGAGAAAGATGAAGCTTTCTGCTCCCGTAAAGATTTACAGCCTCAGAAACCCTGTACAGGGTTGCTATGGGTCGGAATAGACTCGACGACACTTAACAACAACAACAAAGAGAAAATTCTCTCCATTACTTCCTTCAACTTCAAAAGGTAATCAGTGATAGATATCTCTGAACAAGGCTCTAATAAATTCCAAGTCAATGATCGGATAAAGCTTATAGGAGAGTCTACCAGCTTTTACTTACTCCAATTTAAATTTTGTAACTTTTGATGGTGCTTCATTATCTTGTTTCAGAAAAAGGTATAGCAGATGCTGTCATTCCTCCCTGGTCCTCATTTACAGCTAGGTTGCTCGCAAGCCTTTTTCTCTGAAGGGAATACTTGTAGCCCTTGGATGGAGGTCATGAATGTCTAAGTGTAGAGATTCCTAGGGCATTGGGTTGTGTTTATGCTCTCATTTGGAAGAAAAAGAAACTGTTCATTTAAAAAATGTTTTTCATAAACATGCCTTAGTTCAAAGAATATATGTGTATGTCTGTATCTCTGTATGGTATGGTGGAAAGATGAGAGGTAGGCATGAAAGATAAATTTCTCTTTTCTGACCCATATCTGTTTCTTTTTAGATTCACCCCCCACTTTGGAGAAGTCATCTATAGGTCTTAGACAAATTCACAAAAACAGACACCCATGGATAAGCATTAATGGTTATTACTAAACAACTGCTGGTGGTGGTGGTTACGTGCCGTGGAGATGGTTCCGGCACATAGCGACCCTGTACAGGGTTTCCAAGGTTGTAAATCTTTACGGGAGCAGAAAATCTCATCTTTCTCTCACGGAACGGCTGGTAGTTTTGAACTGCTGAGCTTGAGGTAAGCAGCCCGACTCGTAACCACTATGCCACCACAAATTACCATATTTGTACCACATCACCATGGGGCTCAAATACTACCATGGGACTCAAATAATTTAGTAGAGATCTGTGGATTTCCTAGCTTTTCTGAGTTTATATAAATCATTTCATTATAGGAATTTTTAGGTTGAACTAGCATTAATACATTTTGAAGTAACTTTAATACATTTTGACAGATTGAGTGTCTTATGGTTTACAGCATTTTAAGCTGATGCTCTGAAATTATCTGAAAGAAATGTGGGTAGTAGTTACGTAAAGTAATTGCCTTAAACATCACATGAAGATACAACGCAGTATTTCTTGACTGTGGTTCTCTGCAGCCTTGTAATTTGCATGCTCCTTCAAGATGCCTTACAAAGGGGTATTTTTAATGCCTTTGGGAGACAACAGATGAAGTGGCTTTTCCACTTCCCTTAAATTATACATTTTTAAGCCTTACCAATTCCATTTGAAAATAGGAGTACAAGTTGGGCAGCAAATTGTATACAAAATAGAACCACTGAGGGATTTTTCACAATATGCACACACCTTTCCTTAAGCTTAAAGAAAGTGATTTTCTTTCACTTTTACAGCTCGGGTAAGATTTAGAAGCATGGCACCAATTTTCCATATCTATCCAAGTTATGTGGCCACAAATGAAAGGAAATTACAATGCTAAGATTGCATAATCTTGTATTTCAAGAAGACTTGAAGCTCTTGGTTG